GCTTTAACTATTCAGACATAGGAATAGTCAAGGAGTGGGTTATGGAAAATTGTTTTTTGGGCAGGTAAGTAAAACAACCACAGAAGTTTTTCTGAAGCTAAAGACTGTATTAGTAATAACAGACATTTCCCCTCTTCTCTTAGGTGCCTGAATTCTAGTAATATTTCTTCCATATTTTGCAGCTATGCAATGAATAGAGAATTTTGCCATACACTGTGAAAAAGGCTGCACAAACTGCACAATATATTTGTATGAAGATATGATATCCTTGGAGCATAGTTTAAGTGAAGCTGCATGCAGACAGGATCAGAGAGGTGAGAAATTCATATTTTGGCCATATTAAAGTCAATATAAACACTGTGTGTGCTGGTGTTGTAAATATATATATGAAAACAATAAAAACTTGGGTTAAATCCGAACAAACTGAAAATAACCCATTACCTGTGCTTATGTATCATGGATGCATTCTTAAGACATTGGTGCTCTGTGGCACCAGACAGTACTGTAGACATCAAATGAAGTTATGAATTGCATTAATATTCTAAATTTCTTTTACAGTGCTGGAAAACGACATTCACCACTTCATCCTATGGCAACTTTAAGATGTAACCATGAAGTCAACCTATCCTTCAGGTAAGCACACAGCTCACAGAAGAGAGGGCCTGGAGAGCTGAGTAACATTTTCAGAACAAAACTGAGAGCTTTCAAGATTTGTTTTGTATGTTTTGAGGTTTTCTTACAAACTTATACCTTAAAGTATTTCACTTATCTCCACTGAGATAAATTACTTATACCTGTAGGACAGTGTGTGGTTTGGGACAGAAACCAGCTAAGTTTAAGTGGTTGAAACTGGCTTTTTCTGTTTTGCTTCCATTTGAAGCAAATTTTGCTTTGCCTTTTTCTCTGTTTTTCTGTTATGATACCGACTGTTTGGAATACTCAGAAGCCTTTAGATAAAAGACACTGCAGCACAGCAGACTGTGGTTATGACCGATGCTTGTCCAACTAGTGGCTTTGCCACAGACCTTTCAACTGATCTTGCTCAATTAAATTAAGCCCTATGTCAAAGAAAAATACTGGAGATTACTTCCATTTTCTCTTTGCTGTCTACTTAGCCTGTTGGGTATTTGATTGTAATGTGGTGGTTGTCACATATAGGACAACAGCAAAACGAAGCCCTGATCTTGAATGGGGCCTGTAAACAACACTGCAACATAACAAAGTTAATAGTTTGATATGGTAATGCTAGAACTTGGTGTGTATATTTTAAGTGAGGGGACAACTGGTTCTCTGTAGTCTGGGATATCCCCAGGTCAAGGAATTTTTCTCAAATTGGTCAGGTGAGATCTTCTCCTTTGTATCAGGCCCAGTTCCTTCAGGCATGACATAAGCAGTATCTTAAGAATTTACCAACATCAGACGCTGCCTTGAAGAAGGTTTTTTGGTATAGAGGAAATCTCTACTTTCTTAATGCTGCTGGTGAAGTCCTGCCTGCAGCAATAGCACTGCCGTCCTCTACTCTGAAATGCCTTCCCTTCTGCTTCTTTCCCTGCCACCCATTGACAGGATTAGATGGGATGGAGAGCAGCAAGGGTTGCTGTAGCAAGGGGAGGCATGGTAGGATTGAACTCTGACATTCTTTATATCAAATTAAAATCAAATGCTGTTATTTAAAGATACCCTCCTGCCAGGTGTAGATTAGCCAGGACTGAGCTGCTGAGAGTGTTGGGGACAATTTAAAAATTTAATTCAAACCTACCAGAATTTAAACTCAACCCATCTTTGCTTTGCCTGCAAATGGCCATAGCATCATTGGCAGCAGCTGTGCAGCCTGTGGGCAAAGTTCTGCTGTTTGCATGTCCATGCCAGGAAAGTGCTCCTTAGCCTGAGAGGAAGCACTGGGACGTGGCTGTGCAGAGTTCTCGGTAGAGGCCCCTTGGCTCTGCATGTGTGGATCAAGAACAGCTGTGAACTGCTGACTTGGTGCATGAGAGGGCTACAGAGAGATAGTCATATGTGGAACTATTTCATACTCATCACTCTTTTGTGAAGTGTTTAATCATTCCACCACACATAATATATGGAATTAATAACTTCATGTGATATCCTTTACACCTGAGCAACTAAACAGGCTTTTTCTGGAATAATGTATTAGATATACATCATATGACCTTATGTCACCTAGACACTGTCACAGCTTTACAGTTAAAAATTACAAGAAATATCTTGGACAACTCAGGCATTATTTTAGAAACATTAGGCACCCATTCTGTGTTCCTAGTACAACGTTAACTGGTTGTTTACAGTTAGGTGCTGTTAACCAGTCCAAATATTTTACAGTATGGGAAACTGCTGTTTCACTGCTTGCATGTCTCTGTTTTCATATAATGTGCAGGTTATAGTTTCAGGAACAAGTCAGTGCCTATGAATGCTTCATATTACATAAGTGAACCTCAACATCCAAGGCAATGCAGATCTTGTTTTAACAGTGCGGTTCTGAGCTTATTATTTTTAACTTTTGTCTTGCACACATATAGATCTTTCTCTATTAGGAAGCTAAGAGATGCAGGCAATATTTTTTGCTACTAGTGGTGCATAATAATTATCAGAAACAGAACTCCAGCAACAGTGTTATCAAGTCCATTTTGTTAGCTGAAGTACAAGTGTGCTTTGCTACTTCTTAAAATATATATGCTTGTATATGTATATAAAAATAGTTCCTCTGAATTATTGCAGAAATAGATAGGTTGCCATTACTATCAATACTTCACGGATATTGTGGTAACAGCTGATTTTAGAGCACTGATGGTGGCAAAACAGTTCCACATTGAACCAAAATTACACGTATTCTCAGGATACCAGTGTGGAATTGCACTGAACTCGTAGAGTTCTTAGTCCTCTAGTTCCCAGAGAGGACCAGAGTAGTTAATGGTAGGAACTTTATAAAGCAAGGGATTTCTGAGAAGAAAGTAACTCTGTAGCGGACCGCTAACGTACTCAAGAGTCTGGCATCTCTTGCACATTACAATTGGGTAGTTGGCATATTGCTCATAGGAGACACGCAATATTGTTTGTGCCCTCTTTTCCTCTTGATGTTTGA